AGCCCTCCTTTTTCTCTAATTTTGGTCTGCAAACTTAAGTTGTTAACCATCCAGAATACAAGCTTATTGTTATTACCATACAACCTAGGCTGTTAAGCTTAACCTCACTATTAATTAACTTTAGTCACACTGAATTTTTTTATTATTATTACTCAGTAAGTGCTGGTTTCTAACCTAAGTGTTGGTAGGGACAAAAGACAACTGTGAAATTTGAAGTGATTTCCCATGATGATTTAAGTCTTTCTGGTTTATAGTTAGTAAAGTGAAACCTTTAAAAATCTTATGAGCAGTGAGGAAATGAGGGTACAAAAAAGATTTTGGGGCCAAGAATGTAAATCTGTACCATGAATACAGTACTAAGTCAGTGGATCTACCTCTCACAATTTAGAATAATTACAGTCAACTAGATAATTTTACTGTAGCATGGGTTCTTTTTGTCATGTGTTCACCCTGTAATTAACAAGAGCAAACAAGGTGTGTGTCTGTGGGCATTTTTTTAGCATTCACCTGAGTTTTAAATGTCAATGGAAGATGGGAATTGCTTTGGGGAAATATGTATGTATGTATGTATTTATTTGGTATAAGATCTTGCTCTGTAGCTCAGACTCAGTGATCATCCTGTCTGAGCTTCCCCAGGACTGGGATCACAGGCAGGTTTTGGTGGCCAACAAGCTGGCATGGCATGCAGTACCAGGGATCGAACCCTGGTTCTTGAGCTTGCCAGGCAGGTGCTTAGACTGTTGAGCTATCTCCCCAACCCTAGAGAGTTTTTTTTTTTAAGGAACTTTAAAAAGTTTGACCAAGAGAACTGTAATTCTGTCTGTGCTAGAGTAGATTTTTAAACATCAATACCACTGGCTAACCTCTGATCTCTAGTGAAAGTTTTTGTGAAAGTCCGCATTCAGATGTTACATGTCTTTCATTACTATGCCACATATGCTTCTGTTAAAAAAAAGTCCATGACCTAAATTTCAGCTTGCCCATTAGAACTGAAGGAAAATTCCATGTGGTTACAGGTGTTGGTGCGTTGTAATTTCCTTGGACTCATAGGCAATCAGTGGTTTTCTATTTTTATTTTTAGTAGTGGAATCTTTTTCTTGAATGAAACTGTACAGAGTGCTTCAGAGAAGAAAGAGCTTCTGTTCAGAAGAGAGCCCATGTTCAGGCCTCCCTGGCTACAGTTCTCCCCTCCCACAATCTTCATCGCCCTCTTCTGGTTGTCAGGGAGCTGACAGTTGCTGGGTGAGTCCCCTCAAGCTCTATACTTAGGGCTGTGGCTCTGTCCACAGATCAACTAGAGTTACTGTGAAAACAGTCTGCTTATTTGAAGGGACACAGTCAGTAATCTAGTGGTATTTGGGTGGTGCTCAGGTTTACTGGTTCATGAAGAGGTAAGTACAGAAATTTTGCAGCAAGTCAGCATTGCCATGCCATTGGAGTGTCATGATTTGTCTTACTGGATTGGATTAAGAGCAAAAGTATCAGTCCATGACAGCTTGGAAATTAGAATAAAATATGTTTAACACCAAGAGTTTCAGAAGCACCACTGATGAATAAATACTTCTTTGTGTGGAACTGTAATTTTCCTCCAAATGACTGCATACGTGAGCTAATTCCTGAATACGACGCTCAGGATTACTATAATATCAATTACTTTGGTTTGTAAAGGAGCTTTATGGGGATTTGTTGAGCTACAAAGAGTAATGGCACAGATTTTTTAAAAATACATAATCCTTTTATCCATTCATCTCTTTAGTAGGTCTTTGATTCAATAAATATTTATTGTTTGCCTATCATGTGTCTGGTACATAAGAGAAACCCAATCCCTGGCCATATTAAGCAATGAAGCAATAGCAATATGGTCCACATAGGTTTACAATATCGACAGGACAAACCACTTTGTGGGCTCCCAGTGGGGACACAATCTCTAAGCCTAAAACTAAGTGGCTCTTAAAGAGCTAGTAATTCATAAACTTTGGAAAAAAATACTTGAATCTCTCCTATATTGTGACAATGTTTTTTGAGTGCTTAAACTGTACTGTGCTGTCCCCATGTACTGTTGTATGCGTGGCAGGTGTATTTGTGGACAAAACAGACACAGTCTCTGCCATCTGGGACTGATGATCCAGCTCAAGGAAACCGATAAGCAGACAAGAGGGTGTCTAGTGTTGATGAGCTCCAGGAGGAAAAGAGTGGGTGCTGTGGCCGTATGTGGATGAACATATTGCAGAGGTGCCTGAGAGCAGGCCCTGAGCTGCAACCCAAAGGACACAGAGCAGATGTCCCGAGAACAGGGGAGGGGAACCACACTCAGCAGGCATGGAGGCTTTAGGGAAGAATTGTTTTGGCCCAGCTGGGAGTGGCGTGTTCACGGGTGCATCTTAGTCCATTTTGTGCTCCTGTCACACAACATCACAGACCAGTTATTATATAGACGGAAATCTTTTCTCATAGTCTAAAGATTTACATGAGGTTTGTTGTGTGGGAGCACCCCTTCTCCACTTCCTGGATAGGGTCTTGCATCCTCCAGCAAGAAGCAGCATTGTTCTTTACCTGGAAGGACTGAAAAAAAGCAACGAGAACCCCTCCTGAAAGCCCTTGCAGGGCACCAACGTCCAGACCCAAGAAGGTGGCATGTTAATGGGTCCGTGGTTCTCCTAGAACATCTGTGTGGCTGAAGTGCAGTAAGCAAGAGGGAGAGGCCCGCAGGGACCAGAGCAGCTAAAGTCGTGGTGAGCAGCGGTATGGAGCCCAGTACAGGGAGACTGTAGGCCATGGAGGAGCATGATCTGATTTATGTTAAAAATATCCATCTGGTTAAGCAGAAGGGTGCGTGTGGGAAAGATGAGAGGCAGCTTGGGCAGTGACTCAGCACAAGTGATGGTGGAGTAGACAGTACCAGGGAAAGCAGGCAGGCTTTTGCTGGGAGCTTGAATGTGAGAAGCAGAGGAAAGAGAGGGGTCAAGAATGGTCCCTGAACAGGGCCAGCGAGATGGCTCAGTAGTATAAGCACTTGCCTGGCAAGCATAAGCGCCTGAGTTCAATCCCTGATTCTGCTAAAAAAAAAATGGTCCCTGAACTTTTTAAAAAAATATTTATTAATATCTACTTGAATTACATTGAATTAAGAAAATTTAAAAATATAAGCAGAACTGAATTACAGGATAGTTGCATGATTATAAATTTACTGAAAATCATTGAATTGTGCACTTAAGTGCATTAAATTATAGTATGTAAATCAGACCTCAACAAAAGCTTGAAAGAAAAGATAGACTGAGAAAATGTCACCAAAGAAAGGCAGGTCCCTGAACTTTTGTACAGCATAACAGGATGGTGATAGTTACTATGGTGAGAAGTGCTGGGTTATTCAGTCCTGGGGGTAGGGAGCTGGAGCATGTTTGGAACATGTTAAATTTGGAATGCCCATTCCACACCCAGATGGTGCCTCTGCAGATTCATGACTAGGTCTGAGTACATATATTTAGACTTAGGGGTGGTATGGAAAGCCACGGGACTGGGATGATTACCCAGGCAGTGATGGCAAACCTTCTAGAGCTTTCAGTGGTATGGACAGGGTACTGTGGCATGTGTGCCATATGTTTGCTACCACTGCCCTAGAAAGATGAGAAAGAGAAGAAAGGAGAGGAGACAGAAGAGAAGAGAAGAGAAGACAAGAGAAGAGAAGAGAAGACAAGAGAAGAGAAGGGGGCCAAGGGCTGAGCTACCTGCTAGGAGCTAGCATCTGGAGAGGCCAAGGTCCCAAGGAGAGAAATTTGACTCAGTAGTTGAGAGCTACTGCACTACCTGCCTCATTCAGTTTGTAATCACAGCCAACAAGTTTATACCCGATCATGCAGAGACCTTTCACATGGAGTTGGTGACCTAGTGGATAACGTGGCTGCTCTGCCCAGAGTTTCACTGATCCCTTAAGACACATGCCCTAGGTGTTGGCTTCCATGTCATTTTCCTTACAGCCACTACCTTTCCACTGTTGGAGATGTGGACCCTACTGCAAAGGTGCCTAACTAATAGCTGATGGTAGAGCACTACAAGAGCTGGCTTCCTTTCCTCTGAGGCTTAGTTTACTCTCCAGAGTGCCTCTCTGTGGTCACACAGAAGCTGCCTTGTGAAGGGGCCCTCAGTAGCACTTCTCCTGGTTCTACAGACATCATCTCCTTAGCGCATCATCTGCCTCAGGGAAGCTTTAGATATGCACTGTGCTTCCTCCGCCAATCTCCATGTCAGATGAGAATATTAGGAAAGTGCAATGGTTTGCTCTGAAATTTAAAATTGAGATTCCATTTAGATATTTTAGAACATTCCCAACTTCTCAGAGGTTTTCAGCAGTTTCCAGTGCACCAGCCATCAAGTGGAAAGGATTTTGTTTTTTAGCCTAAAGGCAATTATCTGTTTCTACAGATTCTGATAAATTTGTTTGCTGTTTAATTAAGTGAAACATTAGTTCTAGAGAGTTATCTGTATTCGCTCTTCCAGCTGATGAGTGCATGCAAATCTCAAATGGATAAAATTGTTGGATGATTATTTCCTGCTTGCAAACCCAGTCAATAAAGTGATGGGGATTAACAAGGGAATACGATGGGGTGTTTAGAGGGTTTGATGGTGATAAATGTGTCCACATGGCAGGAGGCTGTGAGCTTCTGCTCCCTTCTGCATGCATTCCACAGGGCAGCTTTCATTTCCTTCCAGAATAGTCTAGAAGTACAGTCTGAGAAGGAAGATAGCCCAGTAGCAGGTTGTATGTGGAATCTTACTTCTGTAAGGGAATAAGAAGCTAAATTGTGTTGTATCTACTTTGACTGGATTTACATTTATTTTGGAACTTAGAGGGCTGTTTTAAAATCAATATACAGAAAGTATTTGGGGCTTTTGCTTTTGAGCACTAATGCACAGATCCTCCACTCATCTATGTTTGACACTCTCCCCTTCTCTCCTTTCTTCTCTTTTAGAGCAAAGCAAAGGCTAAGTCAGATTTCTACCTGAACAACTCACAAAAAGTGTTTCAAACTTCAGAAATGAGTTTTTGTTTGCTGGTGCTGAGATCACATAACTCTGATAGCTTTCTTTAGTGCTAAACAGCTTTCAACCTGAGATCAGATACAATAAACAGTCACTAAGTATTTGCTGAGTGAGTGGCTCTGTGGTGTCAACCCTAGGTACAATCCTGAGGTTTTCATATTGTGCCTTTCCTTTTTGTGTACAGTGATGAAAGCTTTGGTCACCAAAAATTTTTGGAAAAATAATTTAAAATTCTTAAACTATCTTTGTGTATAATCCAAAATTAAATTTCTGTGTTATCTGTTGCAGGAAACACTCGTTGGGACATTCAGTTTCCTGTAAATACTTTTGAAACACTCGGAGTTTTGATGATAAATTTCACAATATGTTGAAACACATAACTATAAGACCATAATGCATGCTTTTTCATGCCTGAACTAAACCTTCAAGTCAAACTGTGGCATTGAAACACAATTGGGAAGATGCTTTTTGCTTCCAATTGAATGAAACCAGTATTACAGTTAACTCTATTTTCTGTTACTGCAAATATGAATAGTATCTTTAACTTTCTTTTTGTTTCTGGTCTGGAAATGAAAACAGTTGACTAGAAATTAAACAGAATAAAACAAACAATTTTTTTCTATGTCTACTGGTATACTCTTTTTTTTTTTTTTTCAGGACCAGGGATTGAACTCAGGCCCTTGAGATTGCCAGGGAAGCGCTTATTCTACTGAGCCATCTCCCTGGCCTACTCATACCTTTTGACTAGGGGTGAGAAATAGTATCAAAGTTAACACTAAGAAAGTTGACCCTGATAATACTAAAATGGTTAACACCAAGGACTGAAATGCCTGCTGAACTGTATCTCTGGGTTGCCCACTATCTGTGCCAGACCCTTGCAGTCACACAACTGGCTTTATGTTTACCAGAAGAACTTATGCCTGGGGTTGAGCCACGTAGATGTTCAAGTAGCGACTCTCAGGTTTGCTGAATTCTGGAAATATGGTGACATTTGGTGTCACTCTTGATGCTGAGTGCTTATTCTTGAGTGGGAGGGGCTTTCTCTGAAACTCTTAGGATAAGACCCAAGATAAGAGAGGAACCCTTTGAAGTGCCTGCATACAATTAGGCAGATTTGTTAAGAAGGACATGGGACAGCATAAAAGCATCATTGGAACTGCAAGGATCTGTTATAGACATTTATTTGCAAATCCAAAACGAAGTCATGCAAAACAGTATTTATCAAGGTCAACTGAAATCAAGAATGACCCAGAGAAGACAGACTCATGGGCTACTGTACACCGTGTCCTAAATGTCTCCGAAGCCCTTTGCAGGCAAACAGTAGATGGCATTCATGTTAACACTTTTATAAAGGAACAATTATTTTTCCCATGTTTGTATAGATGTGATAAGTGAATTTTATCTGTATTAGGACTATTTTGGTTTACGCAGCCCAGCTCAAAGTTTTCTTTCTGTTTTACTTTGAAAGGACTGAGATGTTAGTTTTGGGGTATTGATGTTTTACAATGCCTGATCAAGACAAAAAGCTGAAGACCACAGAAAAACCCACTGATAAAAAGCAGCAAGGAATCACCACCAGGTAACATCCATATCCTTTTCTAACGATTAACTGAAGTGGCAGCTATTGAACAGATCTAATGGCTTTTTGAGAAACTGAGTATTCAGACTGTTGATAACTGCTACCCTGGGTCACAGTGTTTACTGAAACATGGTCATTTCAGCAGTTCCAGGAGAAAGGGTTAGTGTGTATACGTTTGCCTTTGAAAGCGGACCTCTAGGTAGCAGTGGCATCTGTGGGTAACATGACCTTTTTCACCTGTGTTGACATTGTGTTATTCTTTTTCCCAGGGACTATTCAGATCTTAAAAGACTTCGGTGCCTTTTGAACGTTCAGTCAAGCAAACAACAGGTAGTGTTTTCAAAGAGTGTGTATATGTCCACAAAAGAGAAATCATGTGTTTTGGAAGGGATCCATCCATTTAACATCTTTACAAACATGATATATCTAGTTTCTTGTCTGTCTACACTTTCTCTTGCTTCTTCTAGCTGTTTCTCCCATACCTGAGTAGGGCTCTGCTAAGACACAGCCTCCACAGCCTTTTGGCTCTTCTTGTGCATGTGCTTGACTTTATCTCATGCTTGCCATCAATGATCCCAGCTACCATGCCTTTTCCTTTTTTGTCTACAGACAGCAAACTCTGTTGTTTGATGCCCATATTTGCCCCTTCAAACTGTAAGGAAGTTGGTTTTCCCAAGGCAGTGTTTCCCACATTTCTGTCTTTTTCCCTCCTGTGCTCTTCATCCTTCCCCTGCCAGGGCGCTGCTCTTGAGGCTGCAAATTGAACCTCACTGGAGAGGACAGGAGTGAGTTTTGACTATTTTTAATAATATTTAAATATTTTTTATTAGGGAAAGTATGTACTATTGCTTAATTTATGTCTAAATTTTTCACTTATTGTTGCTTCTGTACAATTATGAATAGTCATGGAATTAGAGGCCATCCAATGAAGTTTGGGTGTAATGGAGTAATGTATTAATAATGACAAATTGTGAACAGTTGTAAATACTATCAACTAGCAAATGGAGGGATGAGACTCTGGTTGTCTGCTTCTAAAGCCTACTATATTACACTTTTTATGTGAAATTATTTAAAGAACTTGTATAGTTGGGTAATTGAGCCCTGATGTTTTTTGTTACATCAATGAACCTTACCAAAGAACTATATTATTTTTATTCATTTATTTATTTTAGGGAAGAACTTTCTAATGATTTGCTGGCATATGAAGGCTATCTAGTGATAATCCATATTTAAGGAAACACTGTGTATCGACGCTTTACCTGCATGACATTGCTTGCTTACTACAGCTTTGACTTTTATAAGGATACTGGGACCTAGAGGAGTTGAATGACTTTCCAAGAAAATGCTGCCTGCTAATGGAGTATAGTTCTTAATCCAGACACTCTGTCATATTGTGTGCCTCTGGCTACTGAGATGTGTTTTAAATGAGTTGGAAAATAGAAGTACAGTTCAAAAAGATGTTGGGTTGGACATTTATTGGGTGTAAAAAAGTCCTTGAAATATCTTTTCTCTGGGAACCATTTTCTTTATATTAATAATAATAATAATAATAATAATAATAATAATAATAATAATTACTATTGTTGTTGTTTGGCAAGCTCAGGATGCCTTAAGGGCAGTCTGGTAAAGCATGAGGATCTGGGGATTGAACCACAGAATCCTGAGTCTGACTTTCCTTTATATTATTAATCCTCTAGCTTCAGATTATCTTAACTTCTTTTCTACCTGTTTCAGCAGTCACTTTACCTTTTTTCCTCTTTATATTAAACAAGAAACAATTGCTGAGAAGTTGCTGAAACAGTCTGCTTAGCTCCCTTCTCATAAATCTTCATCAATGATTGCTTTAGATCAAGTCCATTCTTTCCTGGAGAGGTATATGAAGTGATTCAGTCCACAGTTTTGGTTGTAGTTCTACCTTTTCCTGCTGTATGTCCCACAATATAACCATAATACCAAAGACTTCTGCTTTTTTGCTTTCTGTTCTCCTTTCCAAGGTTTCTTTACTATGAGTTCATACCTGTTCATAAGACCTAAATCTAATACTATCACCTCTACACATGCTCCAGTCTGGAAGTGACCTCTCTCTCCTCCCAAGGCACCTTCTTACACCACTGTAACATTCTTTCTCCCTTGCTGTGGAAGTCCCATGTACATGCCTTGCTTCCTCACGAGATCATACATTTCCTGCTGCCAGAAACTTTGAGTTTTGCCTCTGGTTCACAGTGTCCTCTACTCAGCAAGTTTTGGATCAATTTTTAAAAATTGCATCATGACTTTATTTTTGTATTTTAGGGAAGGGTCTACAGGGTGTTCAGGATCTCACTACTAGATTGGATTTGTAGTTATCCACCTGCTTACAACCTCCTAAGAGCTGGGATTACAGGTGTGCACCACCCCACCCAGTCTCAATTGTTTTCTCAGCGTGCCCCAGGGGCGCCTGGCACGGCAGGCCTGGGGTCCAAACCCCCAGCCCCTGCGCCTGCTTGCAGGTGCTTTAATCCCCTGAGCTATTTGGCTGGCCCTTGCATCATGACTTGAGAACTGGATCACCATAGGGCCTGTACAGACCTCTGGGCTGGGCAAAAGAAAACCTCAGTGGTGTTTAATTTTCATGTTTCGTTGCTTTGTTAAGCTCAAAGTTTTCAACTTTGAAGTACATCCTGACTAGATTTCTTTTGTCCCTTTCAGCACCACTTCTGTGCTAACACCTGGCGGGCTCATTTAAAGTTAATTTAATGATTTTCTCTCTCTAACCAACTTTAGAATTTGCAATCTGTTGTCTGACAGGTTCACATGGTGTATCATTTTGTTAACTCTTTCACACATACAAGAATGCATATTTGTAATGCCTGAATTATTCAGAAAGTAGACCTAAGATAAAAATGAAAACAACTGTCCTCAATTGGATAAAAGTTCCCAAAATTTATTCCTGTTTTTGTTCATAAAGCTTTAGTGAATTTTAAATTCTGAACACCCTATTCTCTTTTCATATGTCGAGACATTTGTATGGGGAGTATGATTCTGAAGAAAGCAACTCAAGAATTTATTTATACTTTGCTTGTCCTAGCAAGCTATAAAGAGGAAGGATATATAAACTGTGACAGATATCGTAAATTAAAAGTGAAGCCAAAGATAAAAGGAAAACAATGGATAGAGACAAAGTAGAGCTGAGGTCGGGCAGCAATGTCCAACAGAATACATGGGTGGGTCAGGCACACATTTGGTTCTGCAATTTCTAGCAGTCAGTGTGAAAAGGAATTTGGGATTGAGGTCTACTCATCTGAATTTGTGCTCTGACAAGATGTAGCTTGCATTTTTGAAGATGGGAAGATGGCCAGCTACTGGTTTTAGAGGAAATCTCCTGTGTTGGTTTAGGCTGAGCTGCAGAGAACTGGATGTCCTTCCTTTGAATCTCTTAATGAGTGAAAGCCTTCTTCGCTGATTGTTGCCTGGTATCACTAATTTCAGTCTTTGTGCTTGTGTCTGTCATATCTTGCGTCAGCACATTAGGATCTGACGTAGGATGTTCTCAGAGTCTGACAGACCTGGGAATAGAGATACACTGAGGCAACTTTGTTAAGACAAATAATTGAAGATAAGGAGCTGCTCTCCTGTTGTTCAAACAACATGAAATTGCAAAACTGGTTGGAAATTTCACCTGAGGTTTTTAGAAATCTTGAGGTTCTCTGCCTAGACCTAGAAGTCAGGTTTTTTCCTCCTTGTACTTTAGAGACACAGGAACTAAGCAATGTATTTGCAATTTTTAAAAAAGATGGAAGAAAGAAAACTTTGAAATAAAAGGGGTTTTGGTTGAGGTTGTGGGAAAGAAATCTATGAGGTATAGAGGTTTTCATGCTCTGAGGAATGATAAATAGGCCCAGATAATAGTGGTACAGGGAACAACATGGTCCTGAATAGATGATGTAAAGGATATGTGAATTGTGAGGGGGAAGAGGAAGCTTCTCCAGGCTTGAATGACCTACAAGGAGATGGATGTTGAAAAATGGACTGGTTTTCCATCTGTGGAACTTAGAGAAGAGGCTCTGTAGATAAAGTGAAGAAAATGACCAAATATCTGGAGGAAGGACAGTGGCAGTTATTTAGGAATGAAAGTGACTGGCCATATCAGTTGGAGGTGGTGATAAAGGCAGCGGACACTAGACAGTGTCTGAAGGGACAGCTAAGGGATTTTCCTTCTTGATCTCATGAGATGGGGAATGTCGACATTCCTGAGCAGAAGTGCTATAATCAAACTTTTAGGAAGGCTGGGCACCATGAAGCTTTTTCTTCAACTTCATTTCTTCCCTTTCCATTTGTTTGGCCTACAAAGCTCACATATTTGTTCTGTGTCTTCCAACGTGGATGATGCTCTCCCTGGGGAGATGGCTGACACATCTGTGTTTGGCCTGCCTTCTCTGTACTTCCCACTACAATAATGCCCTGTTCACTAGTTCTGCACCATGTTTCTTAGCCTGTCTATTGACTGCAATGCCCTGCTTCTGTGAGACTACAAACACTTTGAAGGACGGTACCAGTTTCTTCCACCTACCATATGTCCTGCATTTCAAACATCTGTTGTCTCTTGTCTCTGCTCCTGAAGTGTAGAGAGTATGAACTCATCTGGGGCTGTTTACTAGATCGATTTGTTGATTGGGAATGGCATGAGCATTCATTCAGCAGCTTCATATTTGAATACTTACTGTACACCATTCCCTGTGAGAGACACCGAGGACACAAAAGTAGATGTGTTGTGTCCAGGGTGGCTGAGTTAAGGGGATAAGGCTGATGTATAAGCTAGGCATTGTATCATCACGGTGTACCATGATAAATGCTGTGAGAGTGGTGAGCTCCTTACAGAAAGGCTCAGGAAGATGCTTGGGCCAAGCTGAGTTTTGGAACACAATGTGAGTTGTGGACTGCGCATGCCTACTGCAGAGGTCAGATCGCTAGGGGTGAACTGTGCATGCCTGTGCTACAGAGGTCAGAGGTCAGACAGCCACAGGTCAGAGGCATTAGGGAGCCAAATGCCCTGGGTTTTGAATTCATATTGCTTTCATCTGATGGTAACGTATTGCTTCAACACTCCACTTTAAGTTCCTGGTCTTTGTAACTGCAGGTGCCAACTCTGTCTTATTCCTTGAGTTGCCTTGAGTTGATTCTCCATACTAGCTGCCGCTCTGTCTCAAAGGCAATGGCTGCTGGCTGTGGCAACCTTCAGCCCTCTTCTTTGAGTGGTTCCTGTGTGTGCTCTCAGCACTGACAGCCTTCTCTCTTGTGAACAGGATTCTGGGAGCTGTATCAAGGGCTAGGGAGTCTGAAACTCTTTAGAACTGGAAAAATCACCTCAGATTTTCTCAGTGTTATGAGAGTTCATGTGTAACACAGGAAAATATTTTTATTGCTGTGACTTAATATCTAACATCATTTAGATTATTAGTTTACACTTGGAAACCACCTAATGTGAGAGGACAAATTTTGTTTATTTAGCAGATTCATCAGTATAGTGGGAATAATTACAAGGATTAAAAAATATAAAACAGAATTATGCTTCATAAGTAGTAATTCACAATAACTCTGAGTTAGACATTATCATTGCCATTTTAATGATGTGGAAAGCAGTGCACAGAGAGATTAAACAAATTTTTCAAGGTCATGGTGGATTTAAACCCACAGAATCTGGGAATTTGTTCTCTTAACTACTTAATTTTTTCTCTTAACCATTGCTGCCGTAAACACATATGCCCTGTTGTTTTATGGGACTTGTAGTTTGGCTGATTGAACTAACAGAGGAAGATATTTTTTACAGAATTGAATATGTATTAACATTTAAAAAATTCGGCTGTGGCTTTCATATGATGAAAAAATTTTTTTGCCAGCTATTAAACAACTTATTATATTTCATTTATGGGAAGTGAGTAATATTTTATTTTAATAAGAAAATAATGCTTTCATGTTGATTTCTATGTTATACCTCGGCGGAACAAGATACTAAGTATAGCATACTATAGCTTTATTTCATCATTATAGAGAATGGAATTATTCATTAAAAACTACATCTTTTGATATACTTGACTTACTTCATCTGTAGTAATTGTAGAACATTTTTCTTTGTACTTTGGAAAAAATGTGCTTAAGTTTGTGTGGTACCAGAAACAAATCTTAGGGTTTTCTCACTTATAAGTAAATATTGGGCAACAAAACTATTTGAATACAATAGCCTGACAATGTCTCATATGAGTAATTAACCAATTCATCCAATAGATAGAGACATAGTCAAGTTATAAATACTTTCAAAAATGTTTATTTTCCTTAAGGTGAGTACTGTATTTTAATGACTTTAATAAATAGTATTAAGTAGTTAGGATGTTCAGGCTGATAAATGTGACAGAGTTCTATTTACCATTATATCCCGGACATTCGGTAGGTTGAGCTGTGGTCTACTTGGGCAATGCTGCAGAACAGATGCCCGCATGAGGACTTATCTCAGGTAGGGCCCTTCCTTTGGTGGAAGTGAGTTCCACACAGGAGGATTCTCAAGAACCTGCTTCCCCAGCTTCACCTCAGACCCAGGGAAACAGCTCTGAACAGAAATAAGCAAGTTCCTACTTGTGTAGAGGTGAGATTTTAATCTGGGGAGCTGTAAATAACATGCATTGCATAAATAACTGCATGTACAAAACACAAACTCTAAGATACGGCAAGTGGTATTAAAAGTTATGAAGAAAAATTAGTGTACAGAAGATAAAAGTAAGTGCTTAACTCAAAGATGCTTAAATCTTTGAGAGCCCTACATTGATCACAGCTCTACCAGGGTGAGCTCATTCTACTCATTTGTCCTCCCCTCTTCCTCTCCTCATGTTGTTACTTTCTTTATCTTATGCTGCTCCTCACGTACTCTGGCTTCTATTTCTGTAGCTTCCAGCCATTAACTTTGAGAGCGCCCAAAATAGCATGACGAAGGCTGAGGCCGCCATCAAGGCGGGCAGGCACAGAGCTCGAGGTCAGTGGCACGAGTCCACAGAAGCTGTTGAACTTGAAAACTTTAGGTAAGAAATCTCCCTGCCCTTCAGCAACGTATCCCAGTTGGCTCATTTACATTTGTAACATTTGCTATAGTAAAATAACCGTCTCAGAAATGCATCATGGAGATTCTTAGCTTACGGTTTAGTTAGTGCTCAGACCACTCCCAGAAACAATGCACAAGTGACGGGAATAATAGTCCCAGGTGAAACTGAGGCATGCTGACATGTACTTGGCCTTCGTTGAATGAGGAAATGGTTCCAGATTGTTGACCTGGGTCAGCCAGTGCCAAGCTTTGTCCTAGCTTTTGGTCTCTCTGCTATTTGCTGGTAACAAGAAGACAAAAGAACCTGTTGCTGTACACAGATGTGGCTAAAGAGTGTGGCAGCCAAAATAATAGCAGTTTCCAGTCGTAAGAATAACAGCAGCTCTCCTTGAACACATGGCAGTCCCTGTTTATCCTTGTTGCCAGGTAGACCTAGAAGCCACGCATTCTCACGGGCCACTCCCGTCCCAGGATCTGGTTCTCTCAGTTTTACAATGGTCCTGGGTCAGCTGGCACCAAGTGCCATGTAAATAATGCTTTAGATGAAATGTCAACATGAATATTCCAGAATGATTCTCTACTTATTTCACCTGGTTTGTTCTCTGTTATTTTATAAATGGAAATGGTCTAGAAATCTATATGAAATTTCCTGGGTTTCATAGTTTTAAAGTATATATTTAATGAGAAACACTAAATATCTTTTTCTTATAATTAGTTCAATAGAAAACCTTTATAGCCCTTACCTGGTCAGGAAGGGGACATGCGGGATAATGTCATCTGAAAGACAACAAAAGCAGATGCCTACCAGTGACAACATAAGGTTGTAAAACTCACTTGCGTTTAGGTAGTGCATTCATGTAGTTCTAGTTTGTTTGGCCTAGATCTTAAAATTAGCCTATTTTGACGAGCACCAAAGTATTATAGACTGCATTAAATGTGATCCTTTTGTACATTATCTTTTATGCTCCCCTGGCTTTGAGGTGGAATGTCTTGAGAGTATTTTAAAATCTGTTTGGAGAACCATCGAGATAGCTCAGTGGACTAAGCACCTGCTTTGGCAAGTGCAGGCACCAGGGTTTGATTCCCCAGTCCCTCATGCCCAGCTGACCCCACCCCCAGGGCACGATAAGGCTGTGACTGAGTCTAGGCATGGTGGTGCATGCCGGAAATCCTAGCACTGGGGAGGCTGAAAACATGAGGATCACTACGAGCCCACGCTGTGTAGTAAGACCCTGTACCAAATAACATAAATGAAAACAAATTACTTTTGGTAAGATGGAATATCAGAAAAAAGCAACTACAATTGTAATATCTCCAAATTTTATTAAACACACATAAAACACAGGCAGTCAATAATCAGCACAGCTGAAGGAGTACAGATGGGAAAAATCAAGTAGGCAGTGTGACTAGAAGACTGTAAGCTGTCAGCCAGTCCCTATTACCTAGTAGGAAATGCAGGCGACTATCTGTGATTTAATATTGAAAGTGACAAATGGGGCCCAGGGTGAAGAGAAAGAGAAGGGAGAAAAAGTGCTCTTCCACTTGTTGCCCAGCTGTACAAGCAGTGGGCCTAGACATTCTTTCTCTCTTTATCCTTTTCTTCACTCCAGCCAATTTTAGCTGGTGTTTAAAAGTCATATTTTAATTAATATGGTAAAATAAAACATGTAAGTGCTTATAATCTTATTGTTTGTCTTCGAATTTCTAGTTTCTATTTCAACAGTTGATTCTTGCATTTAGCAATACGTTGAACCTCAAAATTCCAATTGTATTGGTCTGAAGATAGATGATCTTTACCATGGCAACATTGAGACAGCCTTAATAAGTTTTATTGCAAAATGCTTTTCTGTTTGTTTCATCACAGTATAAACTACAAGAATGAGAGAAATTTCAGCAAACATCCCCAGCATAAATTGTTTCAGGAGATCTTTACAGCCTTGGTGAAAAATAGACTCATATGCAGGTAAGAGTGTCCCTGGAAAGCAGATCTTTGCCGAGAATGACATATTTCACATGTCTTATATGTGGACTATGATTCAAAGCCATTTAGTAGATTGAGCATAATGTAAATTTAAAGTATAAAGTAGAGGGAAGGTTGTTTAGAAGGTGGAGAATGAGTAGGCATTGTGTTTGACCTGTCTAAAATTACTCTGGTTGGGCACTGAATTTCCATAAATTTGGTGACAGGTAAGGTAAAGTAGAAAGATGCTCATGTTGCACTGTTTCTCTTAATCCTGTTGTTCTGAGGTGAGCTATTCAAGGTGGAGTTCATTGTGTGGGTCCTTAGGAAAAAGACACTGGGTCATATCATGGACAGTGTCCTGCATGGTACGCTTTCATGATTGACATGATGACTGATTCAATGGACTGTCCCAGAAAAGGAAGGGAAACATGAGCATGGGATACCCAGTCCCAGTGACAGGACGATCCCTCTTCTTGGGATCACCTCCAATGTTACTCCCTTTGCTCAGTGACCTGCCTTGACATAAGTGCGGTGTTTGGGCCTGCAGAGGAAGGGTTGCTTAACATGCATTCTGGATTCATATATTGCATCTCATAGGCATCTTCAGGCGCTGGAGTATAGTTAGGGTTTAATTTTTATCCATCCTGAGAGGCTTCACTTGGAGCTGGTGGCTGGCTGCTGCTGCACAGGTAGGAAGGACCTTGCTTTTCCCTCTAACCTGGATGCCCAAGTTCCCTCCCAGAGGTATCAACTGCGAAGGTGTCAATAAAGTAAAATCCTGCTCCTTTGTGACTTCATTGAGATATCTGGATTACGTCTTGGTGATAGAGGAAAAAACTACTATTATGAAAAATAAAATAAAAATAAGAACGTTTATTTAATGCCTGAACCAAAATGACACCCTGATTTTGCCCCCCAGTGCAATAGCTGATGTTACACAGAGGAGAATCCTGATGGATCCGCCACTGAGAGTCACGTGCTGAGGACTTGCCAAGGTGGTGGCCTGGTGACTTGGTCTTTTAATACTGCACACATCCTGTTGAATGCATTGACTTAGTTTAAAACACTACAGGACTGGAATACCATCTGTCATGCTTTTATATTTGACTTCAGCCAAGAGTTATTAGGTTGGCCCAGATTATAAAAGAAATTTAAAATCTTTTCCCAAGTATGATTGGGTTATTGCTCAGTTCTTGATGATACACATAAAGATTGTTGAAAGATTAAGGCACATTGTGAAGGACTTGAAGCTGTCTTTGACTGTAGAATAATGATTAGCGGCAGAATAGCTATATGTGAAGTGTTATTAGGAAATGAGCTTTTAAAAATTTTTTGAGACAACTATCATGGAATCCTTAAAGGATACCTGGTAGGACAGTTGTCATTATTAAGTCAGTACTTTAGCGAAGGTCTTAGATGCAGAACTTGTTAGTGAAAATAACTTGACAAGAGTTGGCATTAACTGGCTAAAGAAGATCTTAACAATTCTGAAGTTAAGACATTTCTTATCTTAAATGATTAGCAGGGCATCTTAGATCGGATAGAATTACTTTTTGATAGTATGAGCCATCCCTGGAAATATTCAAACTAGGAAGAGATAGTTGTAGGCCTTCTTGCTTCCATAATACAAGAAGGCATTTAGGAATGCTGAGCATCAGGAGCATCCTTCTCTGGCATCTTTTGGCTGCTGACAGATTGCTATGTTCACTTCTATTCTAAAAGCAGGACTGGGTAGCAGCTAAGAATAAAGGTCTTCCATTGTCCCTCGCCTCATATAACCTTGCTAGGATGGCCTCACTGTCTTTGGTCTTCCTTATGACTTTAAACTTCAGAGTTGCAGCTTAGGGCTTTCTCTGGTATGGCTTGCTATCCCCTTTCTTTAGGAGTATTAGACATAATGTTGGGTAGGATGCTAAGATTCAGTTTCGTAAAGCAGCGAGGAACTACTGTGTTCAGAGAAGGGAGAAAACAGAGCTGGCCAGATAGCTCAGTGGATTAAAGCACCTGCTCAGGCAGATGCAGGGCCCAGGTCTCGATCTCCAGCATGCCGTGCTGGCCCTGCCCCCAGGGCGTGCTGAGAGGGCACTTGAGACTAGGCGTGGTGGCATGCTCCTGTAATCCCAGTGCTTGGGAGGCTGAAAACAGGTAGATTGCTATGAGTTTGATCTGTGTAGTGAGTCCCTAGAGTCCCTATACTAAATACATAGAAAAAAAAGGGAGGGGAACGCAAAGAAACAGAAGGGAGAAAACAAATAGTGGAGGAGGACAAGAGAATAAAGATACAAAGACAAATAGGACATATGGTTCCTTTCTTCCTGAAGAATCAGTCTGTTCTGACCAGTAAATAAGTTACCCACATCCCACTAAAAGGGAAAAAGTGAGAAAAAGAAAAAAATTATATATATATATATATATAATTTATATTAAGACAATTAAAGGCCAGATGAAATTTTGTGTGTGTGTGTGTGTGTGTGTGTGTGTGTGTGTATAGGATCTTTGGTTTTTAGTCCAATTCCTGTTGTAGACAAGACTGGCATTATTTATGATATTATGATGCTTGTTTACCGTAAAAATGTGGCTGATTTAAAACATTGATTCACACATAAGCTGTGAGCCATTCCAACTCCTTTCTCAGTTTCTGCTTTCTAGTTGTGAGGCTGCCGTTCCTCTTTTCCCTCTCCTTTCCCAGCTGCAGTCTCCCCTCATCCACACTTTAGGCCACTTCCTTCTAGGTTCTTTTTGAACTGGCCTGGGATAGCTCACCCATTCTCAGAAAGACTGCCAGGTGGCAACTGAAACTAGGCAGACTTGTTAATCCGGAGTCAGATAAGGTAACTGCAAATACGCCACAGTAAATCTGAAAGGGCAAGGGGGAAGTACTGTCCCTGAACCTAAGGTTACACCCCACTGACTAATCTTGATGTGTGGCAGAATATGAAAATAATTTAATCTTCCAGCCTTTCTTTTTGCAATCAAATAATGTCTATAGAACAGTTTTATGTTAGAAAACAAACTTACCTCTGTTTATCTCATCTGGCTGAACAAGAAAATAAAACACACTTGGAATTCAAAACCACGTTGTTGGAAGGTTGTATAGTGAAGTAAAATCTGTTTCAGCATTGCTATATTCTCTAGTACCCAAGCACTTGTACGACGGAGCTCTACTCAAACGTCTTTTCGGTGTATCTGCTTCACTTTGCTCCCTCTTCATTGCTCTGTTGTTTTCTGGCTTAAACATTATGTAACATGGTGAGAATATAATTTACCTTGTGATGTCGACTTGAACATCTGGCCAGAGATGACAGGGTTTGGTGAAGTTACAGAAAGTGACAGTGCTGGACTGGTGGAATGTGACAAATAACGCTGTGGTGAAATTAGGCCCCTTGACATCTGATGACGAGACGGTATTAACAAGGAAGACAGCAGGATGGGACCATAAGAGTTATGTTCGGAATAACAAAAGTCAGGAGCCTTTGGGGGCAGAGAAAAGATGAATTTTGCTAATACATTGACAAAAACAAACCTCTCTATGCTACCAAAGTCAGAATTGAATTAAAGGATGATATATAT